CTAACACACACATACACTAACACACACACATACACTAACACACACACATACACTAACACACACATACACCTACACACTACACACATACAACACATACACACTAACACACACCACACACCTAACACACACACCCAACATACACTACACACACATACACTAACATACACCTAACACACACACACTCCAACACACACACACCTACACAACATACACACTAACACACACACACAACATACACTAACATACACACACTAACATACACATACACCAACACACACACTCTAACACACACACACTAACACACACATACACAACACACACACACACACCAACACACACATACACTAACACACACACACACCAACACACACACAACATACACCAACACACACACACCAACACACTAACATACACACACACACACCACACACACACACACACACACTCAACCTTACACACACTAACATACACTAACACACCACACACAACACACATACACCAACACACACACACACTACCCAACACACACACACCCAACATACACCAACACACACACCAACATACACTAACACACACATACACCATACACTAACACACACATACACTAACACACACTAACACACACACTAACACACACACACTAACATACACTAACACACACATACACTAACACACACACACACACACACCCTCTAACATACACTAACATACACACACACACTAACACACACACACTAACATACACTAACATACACACACACTAACACACACACTAACATACACACACACACACTAACATACACTAACACACACATACACTAACACACACACACTCTAACATACACTAACATACACACACACACACACTAACACACACACACACACTAACATACACTAACATACACACACACTAACATACACTAACACACACATTTTTTTTTCTTCAAATTTAACCCCCCCCAGCCTCCTTACCTTTTGGAGTGCTGGGGGGATTCCCTGGGGTCCAGTGGTGCTGCTGGGCTCCTGGTCACTGGGCGGGCTGCCCGGCCGGCGCGCGAGGAAGCACTTTCCCCTCTGTGCTCCCTTTTCAGCTCCCTCGCGCGCCGCGTAGGGATGCCGGCGCCGGAAGATGACGTCATCTTCCGGCTCCGTCATCAGTGCGGTGCGTGAGGGAGCTGAAGAGGAAGCACTGAGTGCTCCCTCGCGCGCCCGCCTGCCCGACCGGCCTCCCGCCCGCTGGGGTCAGCAGGGCCAGCCTCGGGGGGCCCTGGGGTGGCCACCTCCTGGACCCCCCAGGGGAAGAGGCTGGCCCTGTGGGTACATACCGGGTCGCAGGGGCGACCCTGGTATGTACGCCACTGCATGTAATCATGGTTGATTATATTTTTTAATTGTTCTGTGTTAAAGGACCACTATAGTATGTTTTCCTGGCACTATAGTGCCCTGAGGGTGGGGGGACTGAAGGGGGAGGAAGGGGTTAATCCCTTACCTTTTTTCCAGTGCCGGGCTCCCTCGGCGCTGGGACTCTCCTCCCTCTTCTTCTGTCATCGGCTGAATGTGCATGCGCGGCAAGAGCCGTGCGCGGATTCAGCCAGTCTCATAGGAAAGCATTCACAATGCTTTCCTATGGACGCTGGTGTCTTCTCACTGTGAAAATCACAGAGAGAAGCGCGGAAGCGCCTCTTGCGGCTGTCAATGAGACAGCCACTAGAGGTTGGATTAACCCATAGGTAAACATAGCAGTTTTTCTGAAACTGCTATGTTTACAGCAAAAAGGGTTAAACCTAGCTGGACTTGGCACCCAGACCACTTCATTAAGCTGAAGTGGTCTGGGTGCCTATAGTGGTCCTTTAAATGTATATGTGTATTTTAATATTATTTAGTATTTTTAATATTATGCTGTTTGTGGGCCCAGGACATACTTAAAAACACAACAAATCTCAATGTAAGGGTGGGGCAAGACCGACGAGCTGAACAGTCGCAAGTGAGTTCAGCTCCTGCAAATCACCCGCAATTAAATGCATAAAACATGGAAAATTACTTAAATGCAGACCCAGACCGTCAGCGAGAGTTTTCAGTGCCGCAAGCAGGGCTGGCGCTACCTGTAAGGCGGACTAGGCAGCCACCTAGGGCGCCCCTTGGGAAGGGGCGCCGCCAGGAGCGCCGGCCCCCCTAATGCTGCAGCCGCCTGAGTGCTCTGTAGAGAGCCTCAGGCGGCTGCAGCTTTGCCCGGGCGATGCGTCCATGAGGGCGGACTGCACCGCCCGGGCGCAGCATGAGGAGAGGGGCTGACAGGAGGGAAGCGCTCAGCGCTCCCTCCTGTCACTCCCTCCCTGTAGCGTGGCCGAGCCTTCTATTGGTCCACGGGTACAGGGAGCATCTGTCTGAACACTGAGTGTTCACTTCCTTTTAGTCCGGCCGGGTACAGGAAACAAAAGCAACCTGTACCCGCGGACCAATAGAGGGCTCGGCCACGCTACAATAGAGGTAGGGAGGGTGGGGGGAATAAATGGACGGGGGGGGAATAAATGGACAGGGAGGGAGGGGGGGAATAAATGGACAGGAGGGGAGGGGGGGAAATAAAATGGACAGGGAGGGAGGGGAGGAATAAATGACAGGAGGGGAGGGGGAATAAAATGGACAGGGAGGGGAGGGGGGGAATAAATGGACAGGAGGGAAGGAATAAATGGACAGGAAGGGGGAAATAAATGGACAGGATGGGGGATAAATGGAGGGAGGGGGGAATAAATGGACAGTGAGGGGAGGGGAGATAAATGGACAGGGAGGGAGGGGGAGATAAATGGACAGGAGGGGGAAATACATGGACTGGGAATACATGGACAGGAGGGGGGGAATAAATGGACAGGAGGGGAAATAAATGGACAGGGGGGGGAATAAATGGACAGGCAGGGGAAAATGGACTGGGGAATAAATGGACAGGCTGGGAATAAATGGACGGGGAATAAACGGACAGGGAGGGGGGGAATAAATGGACAGGGAGGGGGAATAAATGGACAGGGTGGGGGAATAAATGGACAGGGGGGGGAACTCAATGCACCCCTTACAGACGCACACACTGCATCCCGTACATACATAGAAACACACATTGCAGCCCTTACACATACAAACACAGATTCACACAATGCATTCCTTACACACATATCAGGACATCCCCTACTCCTGTGAACAAACTAATTGGTGGAACATGAAGGTGGACCCTGGGGCCCAGACCTTGAGCTGTGTAAAGGGCCCCCCAAAAAATGGAGCTGCTTCCCGTTCTCCCAGAACACAAACAGCCTCCAGAGAGCCTGTTCTACACCAGACGAGTGGAGCCAGACTGCAGCTAGAGCCCATAACCATCCTCATCTGATTGTAAGTAGGCAATCTAGTATATTATTCGTGGCACTAATCTCTAATTTACCTCACATTAAAGGGACACTTTAGTCCCCAGAACCACTGCAGCTTAATGTAGTGGTTCTGGTGTCTATAGCCTGTCCCTGCAGGCCTTTTAATGTAAACACGGCAGCACTGCAGCACTTGCGTTAGTTAATATGGGGCATTGTGATGTCATATGGGGGGGCGGGGGGGCGGCAAACTTTACTTTTGCCTAGGGCGGCAAAAATCCTTGCACCGGCCCTGGCCGCAAGGGCACCAGATCCAGGGAGAGGCTGGCTCCTCGAGCGTCAGTCCCCAGGAGGTGAAGCCTCTGACGATCAAGTTGGGGCCTAAGCCGACGGTGAGAGGGGTGGACGGCGCTGCCCCACTATCCTGCCTGATGGTGCACAGAAGGAGGCTGAGACCCAGGCGGACCTGGCCCTGTTCCCCCCGTATAATCCCGGTCCTCACGCAGAGGCTATACAACGAGAGCCAAAAACCACTACCGCCCCGCTCGAGAGACCGAGCGCGACACCCAAGATGGTGGATGCCATGTGCGCTGGAATCGGCAGGGGGGACTGCTCTCCCGCTGAGACTAGAGCAACCAATATGGTCCCCAGACACATTTTACCTGGCACCACAGCCTCACAAGTGGTTACTTACCCGACTACTCCACAAGCCATGTCACAAGCGAGCAGCGACGGAGACCTAGTCGGATTCAAGCTGGCTGCTGAGCTGGAAGACCGCCAAACCGCACAATGTCTACCCCTGCCAGCGACTACCGACCCCGCAGCTGAGAAAGGTACTCCTACAGCACCAGCGTGTTTACATACTGAGCTTCTTGATAAAGCCTATCGTTCAACATTTTTTTTTAATGCGCTATATAGGCATACATTCAAGCAACTAGCTTGCCTCACACAGTATAATGTTACCTATTCTAGCTTAACAACCTGTCAATCTAGTTACTGTACTGCTAAGGCCTATATATGTCACACTACACACAAGCCACACACTTATAATGTTAAGCGCAACTCGTTTTATTAAATGCATATTTAGCATAGCATGTTATACCAGAAAAACGATGTCTAATAGCCTGTTATCTTCATATAATACAAAAAATATGCAGTTTAAACTGTCACACTGTGAAATGTTATGGAAATGCTTGTAGATGTTGTCGTGGCTCTGCACGCTTGTTGTAACCCCATGCACAAGAAAAATAAAGAATAAAAAAAAAAAAATCTCAATGTATTCTTCCTGGTAACATTTTTAAAAATAAATAAGTATAATGTGTTATAATCCACTCTAAATTGTTAAAGCACTTTTTTCCGATGAGATGTTTGAATAACACTGCTTATTGAAAAACATTGCATATTGACTTGTATTTTATCTCTTTATATTTCTGTATTTCAATTTACCTTTTTTACTGATATAATATAATATAATGTTCTTCTATATACAGCCTTTGTGCCCTATAACAATCTTAATTAGCCCATTACCTTCAAAGCTCAACCCCCCCCTTCCTCCCCCGCAACAGTTCTCCAATCCTCTCTGGGAAGGAAAGAGTTACTCCCCTCCTCAACTCCCCATGCACATGGAATTTCCTCTCTGCACCCCCTGCATATGATGTCACCCTGCAGTGTCTGTTCCGATCATCTCCCATTTAGCTAGGAGCTGTATGGTGTTTCCTAGGAAACACTATGGATTTCTTCTTATTCTCATTACAGCTGCAGTTACACCACTGTGGGAGAGAGGAATGTACCTCCTACCTCTCCGCATGATAGGTAGGATTTGCTTTGCTGGTACACTGCCTCTGCTATAGAACGAGTACGTGTGATGCATGGTCTGCAGGTCACTGGGAAATACACAGGAAAACTGACTTAAATCAAAATCAACTGACGACTCAGAAGAATGAAATTAGATATTTTAGCATTCTGAAATGTTATTTTTTATATTAAAAACCTTGGTCTAGTTCTCTCTTTTTGTATAGTGTCAAAATTGCTTCCTCTGGATAGATGACCAATATATATATATATATATGAAAAATGTATTTTATTTTTTAAATATTCATGTTTACCCATTATACTCTCAAAAATTTCAAGATTTAAGTAAAAAACTAATTCCAATAAGGGTAGCTTTACATACATCAAATTATACTTTTAGGCATGGAATTGAATAACGTTATATATTTTTTAAAATAAAAAAATAGCATTTGCATACTTCCCAGGTGTCCTAATTTAGTGGACGGGGGGTTACTGATTGCACAATGTTTCCTTTCCTGTTGGTAATTTGGTAAGGCATTTGATTTGATTAGGTACCCTGTTTCCCCCAAAATAAGACCTACCCCGAAAATAAGCCCTAGCTGGATTATCGGGGTGGGCTGCAATATAAGCCCTACCCCGAAAATAAGACCTAGGCAGGGCCGGCGGCTGCCAGCCCTTTAAATGCCACAGCCGACTGAGTGCTCTATAGAGAGCGCTCAGACGGCTGCCGCACTGCCTCACCTCCCCTTCCCTGTAGCGTGGCCGAGCTCCATTCCGGTCCTCGACCCGCCCGGACTGACAGGAAGTGCACACTGGGTGTGCACTTCCTGTCAGTCCGGCCGGGTCGCGGACCGCATAGGAGCTCGGCCACGCTACAGGGGAGGTGAGGAGAAGATTGGAGGGGATAATATTACAGGGAGGGAGGGGGGGATAATATTACTGGGAGGGA